TATATAATATGTAAGATTAATTATAAAACAAAAATTAGCTCGGTTTAAAATTAGAGCATGGTTAGTTCTAGCATTAGAAATAGTTTGGGTTATGCTAAAATTTTGCAAGAAATATTTGTTTCATATGGGTGAAAATTTCTAATTTAATGTGTATTATTGATAAGCTTGTCAACGAAGTAACATAGCATTCATTATTGCGAGATCAGATGACTTTGCAAATTACATGTATTGTTTTAGTTGTAACCTTTTATGGTTATGTTCATTATAGCATTTGTTTCTTGTTGAATGCAGGTATTGTGAGTAAATCTATGATAGGTGTTTCTTAACTGGTTATAGTAATTGTTTTCTTAAGATGGCAAATAACTAGTAGTAAAGAGTAGTTTATCATTTAATGTTTAGGATTATGCATGTGAATAGTAAGCTAGTATTATGATTGTGCATGTGAATGGCAAGTAAAAGGGGTGGTAGATGTGCTTAGTCAGATTAAGGGCTATTTAAGAATTATTTTTCAGGTAATAGTTGGTTATTCTTTTGTTCACTATTGCTCACCTTAGTGAAGACTGACTCTATCAGCCATTTTTGCCCACCTATTGTTAAGTGGCTCTGTGACTTAAAATAGTGCAATGACTACAACAAGCTTATGACACTGCAGTTCAAATAAGCTTGGCTCCGAGGCTGCATTAGCAGTGCAGGAACTATGCTCAATTAAGTGTACATTAGTATTATAGACTCGATCCTCTGTATATCGCTATCTAATCTGCTAGTTCCTTTCTTAGAGTATATTTTATTAACAAATTGATTTGTAATTGGTCTTATTACTGTTAAACCTGAGGGATAATAGTTTTGAAACCATTCAGACTAGGGTTCGAAGGTTTAGAGGTATGAGATTATATTCGAAATGGTAACTTTAGTACAATTAGGAGCCTTCAGGATAGTGGACCTATTCCTATATGTTTTTTCTTTGTTTTATTAATAAAGTCTCTGATTTAGCAATAATAAATACAAGTAACTCTCGATATAAGAAACAGTCAATATAAAAAACTCTTGGTATAAGAAAGATTTTACAAGTTCTATTTGAAAATTTTAAGTCTTTGATATAAGAAGAATTTGGATTGGATCTGGTGACTTTTATATCAAGAGTCAATTGTAATATTTTATCATTGATTTGTATATTATTTTTATATAACTGTGATATACTTTTGGAGCTGACTATACATATATAAATTGAAAGTATCAGTATACCTGAATATTCGGAAATTGATCTACTAATTTTTGTGCTAGATCTGAAATAGAAATCTATAGTTCTTCTTCAATCGCAGCTTCTAAAAATTCTTTATGTTGTTTATTTAAAATAGATCTTTTGTTACCACCTCGCGATTTGGGAGCAATTCGATTTTCTCGATCAAAAACTTTGATAATACTTTGTACAGTTGAAGCTGCTAATTAAAAATTAGCTGCAACCTCTCGAATTGGTAAACCTTTATTATTAACATTATCTATAATTTGGTTTTTTATTTGTAAAGAAATTTTTTGATATTTAGGTTTTCTTTTTTTATTTTGTTGAGACATTATTAGGATGAACATGTAAAAATTTTTTATATTTATATAAAACCTTTTTTACTATTTATTAAAAAAATTTTAATAAAAATTTTAAGAATTCTAATATGCTGTAATTAATAATATTAGGGGTTTTCAAAATTAAAATCAGAGAATATTATTTTATTTTCTGATTTATATTCAACATAATAAAAATACTATTAAAAAAATCATATTTATTTTTAAAATACACCACTTATTTGTTAATTTTGAAACTCCTATTGGTAATTCAGTGTAATTATTATGCAAGATGGTGGTTAACAAATACAGATCTTATCAAAATATTAATTATGTATGTACATAGTCAATAAACATTAAAGAATTGTAATTAACATGTTTTTATAAATAACAGACAATCTATACTAATATTTTGATACTGTGAAGATTTAATTGTCTGCTTTCTATATTTTGTAATTTCAATGATGGGTTCGGTATGCTCATTATTGCAAAAGTAGATAGATAAGTTAGTGATTTGCAACAATGGGTGATTAATAATTTCAACAGTGAAACAGTTAATTTTAACAATGGGCATTGGTGATTTTAAAAATTAGTTAGCGATTTGCTCATTGAATAAGTGCTTTTAATATTTATTGATGGGTTAATTTTAATAGTGAATAAATTAGTAGTTTAAACAATAAGTTAATGATTCGAGCAATGATAAAGATTTTAATAAGTGGATTCGAGATTTTGTAATGTAAGTTCGTAACTTAGCAGTGACTTCAACTGTGGGTGTTTGTTTTAGAAGTATAGTGACTTTGACAAAGATGAGTAGTGATTTTAATATGAATGAAAAATATACAAGATGTGACAATTATGATAATGCTAACCAATCAGAAATTAGATTTTGGGGCCACACGCACTTTTTTCTCAACTCCATATACTTTGTAATTTCATCACTTCATCTTTGGTACTTTGTGATTTCATCACTTCATCCCTGGTACTTCGTGATTTCATCACTTCATCCTTGGTACTTCATGATTTTATCACTTCATTCCTGGTATTTATGATTTTATCACTTCATTCCTAGTATTTGTGATTTCATTACTTTGTTCTTGGTATTCGTGATTTCATCACTTTGTTCCTGGTAAGAAAATCAATTATTAAATTTCTTTTTTAGCATAACACTATACAATTGTTTGAAATCCATATTTTTGTGTAATCCGTATTATTCACACACATATTGCTTCACATCCATATTATCCAGATCACACATCTCAAAATTATTTATGCATCTATTCTAGTCTTAATTTCCAACTAGGGTTCTGCATAGGCTGGGCTATCCATAGAGCATTCATAAACTGGTCCAATGTGGGCCAGGCTTAGTTTAAAAATTTTGTCTATAGATAATTAAGTTCAATCCAAAGATCTATAGGTAGCTTCTAATTAATCTGATTGACCAAAATCATAAATCTCATCATTTTCCTTTTTATATGATGTCAAAATTTTGAATCCAAGCTTAATTTAAAAATAAACTATTTATAGTTTGTGCTCTTGAAATCTATGAATTATATCATGTGATTATGAGCTAGGCTTGGATATATCCAATTAAATATAGATTTGTTCTGGACTTCATTCAGCCTGGCCATACAGAACTCAAAACTATAGTCACAACTAGGTCACAACATTCATTTTAACTTATGGGCACAATATCCAGCCTGATTTAAGATTAGAGTTTAAGTATACTTTAGTAATGCCAATCATTGTTATATCATAAGCACATGATCTTGTGCCTGTAGGAATTGCCTTAATTTATTATGCAGAGATCATTAGTATAGAATAGTATAATAGTAAATTTAAAAGTATGTAATCAGTTTAAGAGTATAGTAAGATGTAATTAATTAATAATATAATGAAGAAGTCAAAATGTATATATATAAGTAAAACAAGATTAAATAAAGTGTGACAGCTTTTGTTTCAAATAATTGATTGAACCAAATAAAGCAATATTTACCCTATTTTTCAATAATAAGTTGTTCATGCTCACTATTCGTTTAGCATTAGATACTAATTAACCTACATAGAAATGACCATACGAAGAGTGAATTATATTATGGTACATTTCTGGTTTAAGCATAACTATGTCATGCAGCTATCTAATTTATTAAATAAGTTGTCAACTGCATAACTAAATATATATTTATTATAAGCTTACCTATTGTGCACATCATAATAAAATATATTATCCATGTTGAAAATATTTGGATATATATGAGTGCCAGCAAAGAAAAAACTTGAACTAAAAATAATAAAATGGCCCACATATATAATAATTCTAGGAATCTTGCACTTCATTCAGATCTTATGCCTATAAAAGTATGACTATAACCTGAAACCATGCAAGCAATCTATAATGCTTTTCTACTATGTAGCAAACATATTTTCATACCTTATTTACTGATGTCAATAAATCTATAAACTTGTACAAATTTGGTTGTCAACTTGTATGAATTTGGTTGTCAGTTTGTACGAATTTGATTGTCAATTTTTGTATGAATTTGATTGTTAGTTTGTAAGAATTTGACTATCTGCTTATACGAATTTGACTGTCTGCTTGTATGAATTTGACTGTCTACCCATATGAATTTGACTGTCTGCTTGTACGAATTTGACTGTCTGTTTGTACGAACTTGATTTACAAATCCTGTAATGAGTTTTCTGCTATGTTTCAAAAATCTACACTAATTACTTATTTATGACAACATGTAGATAATACTGAAAAAAATTCTTAGAAGAAAACAAACTTGAGAAAGCAAAAGATTTTGATTATAATCATAAAAGTTACTACTTTTATACATATTTTAATGCATATCTAAAAGTAGCTATTATTAATAATCAAATTGACAATCTTCATCTTCAACAAATAATTAATAAAATTGTATTTAAACCAGTTGATACTTATTACTTAGCCAGAGTAATCACCTATTTTTATATTTTTAAGTCTCTTAACAACCTATTTATCTTATATATTAGAAAAGCTTACAAAGAATGTTTTTATTCAGAAATAAAGAAAACTTTGCTTTCAAAATTCAAAGTACAATTTAAAGCTTCTAAAATTAGTACTAACTTCTTCAAACTCAAATCCAACTTAACTACTACTAAAAATACAGTTAAAGCATTTGATACAAATGAACCAGAAGAAACAAACCAAACTCCATTAAACTTCTTAACAATTGCTGATGATAATATAATTATATCTAACTCCAATACAAATCAAGAACCTCTTATTATCAATCAAGATATGAAAAATCCTATACCTGAACCAAATCTAAACCAAAACTCTACTACTCTACTTTTAACAATCTCTTATAGTCCTTTTTAATAATTTTTTCTATAGAATTCATAAATGCAGCCACTGCTTCTAAGATAATGATATTCTCTACATCTAATAGATCATTCTTAGAAGAAAATAATGTAAGTGAACAGATTAATAAGTCTATTTATATAGAGAACCAAGATAATGATGGTTAGACCCAATGTACAGAGCAGGCCATGGCACTTTTCACAACTGTGAAAACTGAGCTTAAAATAGTAAGCAACTCTACAGAAGATATACAACTTAAATTATTATCTACATTATTAAATTCTTATGATTTGAAAACCTCCTATAACAAATTTCTTCAATATCATTATCTTCTTCTATCACACTTCCAATCTACTATAAAAACTTTTTTTCAATACTTACAACAAATAAACTCTACTCAATTCCTAAATACTTTTATAATAATACTAAAGATAGACAAAACTGAAGCCTACATTTACTTATTACATGAACTTATTATTTTTTCAAATCATTATATTTTTTTTACTACTAATTTTCTCAATAAACCTCTTAAACTCCAATCTAATTTTCAAACTGCTAACTCCAATACTAAATTTAAATCACAAAACAAATACAACACTTCTATATGCTTTAAAGTTGTAAATACAAACAACATACTCTCTTCTAAATATACAATTATATTTCAGATCTCTAACTCAATAGATAAAGATTTACAATCCACTTCTTTCATTAAATCTCTCGAGCTATCAATTAGTACTTACAATGTTCAAGACTATAATAAAAACCTTAAACAGCAAATGTGAGAGAACTTCTGTCTAATAAACAATCTTAACATAGTTAGTATTATTGAAACTAAAATAGCTAGCACAAATGCAATAACAAAGCTACAAAAATTCAAACACTTTATATACTACTGGTTATGCAGCAATGCTCCAAAAGCCAGTACTGCAATTATGATTAATAATTGGCTTAAACCACATGTCTACAAAATACACAACCTCCCTAATTATGCATTACTATTGACCTTTTTTTTAAACATGACTTCAAATTCCACATTATATTAGTATATTTGCCTTGTGATAATATCCAACTCAGATTAACTATTCAAAATACTGTTATTTCATAGCTTCAACAAGCCATAAGTTCAAACTTACAACCTATTATTCTGTGAGACTTCAATGCTCCTAATGATAGCTTACACTCATTCTTTATCAAATACAAACTATTGCACTTTCTTCAATATAACAATATATATAATCTAGCTGCTCATACTCAATTATTAACTAATACTTGACAAAACAGCTGATTTCAAAGTTGAATTGACTACATTTGGGCAAACCACTCAATTATTCACTACCTCACCTCATATAATACTGATAACTCTAAAACTAGCACAAATAGTAATTATAAAATTTTAATTTTCTTTTGGTCTTTTTCTTATGCTTATTCTGACAAATGATGTTTTGCAACCAAAACTTGAAAAAAAATATTCTTCTACAAAAAAATAAATAAAAAACTTTGGCAATTATATACTAATCAAGTGGCTACTAATCTCAGCTTTAACTATACATCTACAACTGTTAATATAACAAAATCCTTAGAAACAATATAGCACAAAATTTAGACTAGTATTATCTCAACTGCTCTTAAACATATTCTTAATAAAAAAATTACAATGCACAATTTTCAATATATATATTTTGCCAAAGCTTCTTTTTTATATCACAGTATTAAAAAGCTAGAAAATATAATTTGACAAATTAAAATCTCATTACAAAAACAAATATCTATATCTATATAACTTAATAATATAATTCAATAACTTAATAATACTAATAATCTTACTATTTCTTTCTTACCAACCAGATATAACTTACTAACTGACTGGATCTCAAATGCAAATAATGAATAGAAAGCACTTTATTATATATATAATATTAAAAATATTAAAATAATTAAACAACAGATTAATAAAAATATAGTTAAAAGATGTGATAAACTTCAATCTTAATCAAAATCAATGATTAACAGTATATTAAACTGTCACAAAGATCCTATAAAGTTTGACAATATCAAAACAGATCATGATGTTATTACAGAAGTACAGAAAATCAAAACATATATTCAACAACACTTCAATCAATGAACAGCACATAGACAAATTAATCAACAAATTTATAACTCTTCCTAGTATAATGAATATCAATCTAAAACAAACATTCATTCAGAATAGTATCAAGAAGTATTAGCAAAATTCTCTGAAGAAGAAATTTCTATCATATTTGCAAAACTTCCAAATAATCATCAGCAAAATTTTAAACTGCAATAATTTTGCAATATTTTGCAATATTTTGCATCAATTACAATTCTTTCAAAATATTGCAAAACAATTTAAAAAACTGCACTAATCTCTGAATTTTATTAAGAAACTTCACAATATTGTACTAATAAAAATGATCAGCAGGTCATCCTGGTCATAATGGTGGTTAAATCATCAAATTTAGATAAGTATTTGCTAAGATAGCTAAAATGCAATTCTTTCAAAATATTTACAATATTTCAAAATAATTGTGAAATATTTGCAATATTTCGAAAGAATTACATTTTAGCTATCTTAGCGAATACTTAACCAAATTTGATGATTTAACTACCATTATGACCAGGATGACCTGCTGATTATTTTTATTAGCACAATATTGTAAAGTTTCTTAATAAAATTTGGCAATCGGTACAATTTTTTAAATTCTTTCACAATATTTCGAAAGAATTTCGATTGATGCAAAATATTGCGAAATTATTGTGGTTTAAAAATTTGCTGATGATAAAGCTTGTGGCCCTTCAGGCATAAGTTATGAAATGCTTAAAAATGCAAGTTTACCATTTTTCCAAGCTATAACTGCTTTATTTAATGATGCATTTCAATCAACAGTATACCTAAACAATAGAAAAAAGAAAGAATCTTCTCTTTCTTCAAAACACCTATCTTTAATAGAAGTTTAACTAATACTAGATCTATTAGTCTTTTAGAATATATTAAAAAATTATATACCAAACTTCTTATTAATCACTTAAATACTACTTTTACTTTACATTTAATACTATCTTCTTATAACTATATTGCTCTTTCTGGTAATAGTATAGCAATACCAATTCATATACTTAACAATATAATCGAAGAAGCTTTTTGCAATTTCAAAGAACTTTGGCTTATATCTTAGGATATGAGCAAAGCCTATGATTCAATAAACTCTGACCTCTTTGCAAATTTCTAATATGAATTCACATGCCACCTAAATTAGTAAAAGTTCTTACTAATCTGCTTAATAACTGCTACAACTAAGTTATAACTAATCTTGGACTTATAAACTTATATTCTATTAAAAATAAAATTGATCAAGAAGATCCAATTACACTATTATTTTGGCATATTTACTATAACTCTCTTATCCACAAAATCATATCTTAATTTACAAAATATACTCTTTCAACATTATAGAAAACCAGTCTACAACCTCCTTAACACCAACATCTTCAAGTCTCTATCTTAGTTCTTACTTATATGAATAACATATTATAGATTGCCCAATTCAAGAATAAGTTAGAACAAATTACTTAAATGGCAGCATCCTTCTACAAAATAACTAACTTTCAGATAAATTCTACCAAATCAATATCTGTCACAAATGCCAAACCTATTTCTATTACTTTTCTTAACTCTACTATCAACTCTATTTCTAATAGCCAATCTTTCAAATACTTAGATTGTTGGTTTACATTTAACAACAAACAAACCCATATAATCAAATTAATTTAAGAAGAAGATTTTCAACTAATTAATACTACAAATACAAAAAACATTACAGACAAACAAATTACTTATATTATTAATACAGTTGTTATTCCAACATTAGAATATAGAATATATAATATTATTCTTACCAAAACTATATATAATCACATACTGGCCAAATACTTTACAGTTGCTAAATACAAATCTCACCTTGCCTGATTAATCCTTAATAGTATAATGCTTCACCCCTATCTATACAACATATATAATATTTGAGATATACAATTACAATACCATATTACTACTTATAACTTTACAAAGACTAGTAAATACTGATATATTATTAAAAGCCCTTTTTAAAGCTTTGTCTACAAAAGTGATCTATGAATTTTCTGATTGTGTTTTGGATTCATTATTAAATATATTTCAAATATTATAAAAATCATAATTTTTATATACTGTTTTAAAGGATTATTATTCTAATAATGTTTTGATATAAATTAAGTATTGCTAGATATTGATAAAGAATATACAATTTTATTGCATAAATTTGAATTGGATCAGATAAAAGAACATTCATTACAGATATTTTCTTGTTCAACTATTCTAGTACAAGATTTTATATATACTGCATTACCTTTAATAAATTATTAATATTAAAATATTATAAGAATTTTTTTTTTTTTATTAAAAGTGAGGCCTGGCCTCGGTCTTTATTAAACAATTTGGTATTACATTAATAAAAATGAGTTACTTAAATTATTACATGAAGTATTATAATAATTAGATTAATCTTTTATAAATTACATACTTGATCAGTCAATCTGCCAGATAAATTCTACAAAGAGTACATAGTTTAATTGTCTTTTTTGTTTAAAACTCAACTTTTTTCTACTAAATTTTTGTGAAAATAAATAAGAAAAAAATTTATACATAACAATTTTAATGTGACAACAACTACTAAATTATATAAAAGTTTATTTTATATAATTTAATATTTTTATAAATTGAAGACCAACACAAATTAACTATTTTTTGGTATCTTTTATATGATCTAATCTTTCTTTAATACTAATAGCTTGAAATTCTTGGTTTGAATCTTTTTTTATTTCAGCAACTTGTATTAAGTCATTATCTTCCATATTATCATAAATATCAGAGTCATACTCATCTTTTTTAGCATATTCTTCCTCAACATATTCTTCTTTAAAATACTCTTTTTGTAATACTAGTTGAAACCAATTATAAATTGTTTTTTGCCCTTCATTTGCTTTATATCCAAAGAATTGAACATAATGGTTAAGATAATTCTTCTTCCATTTTTTATAAAGCTTTATTTTTTTATCACATATGCATACTATTTTTTTGGAATATATAATATAAGCAACATATTTGTATTTTGAAAGTCTTTCAAAACTGAGTTTCCAACCTGTCATATTTTTTAGATATTTTAGAAGAGATTTTTTTTTAAATATATAAATATAGAATCTTATTGCTCATACTACTTTTCTTTTTTAACTAGAACAGAATCATATTTATTTCAAAAAAAATTTTATGAATAAGTAAAATAAAATTATTATTTATTATTATTAAAATTCTATATTGAACTGCCAATAATAAAGTTTTTAAGATGCAACTTATTTTTTGTCTATTTGCATATTATTAATCTTTCAAAAGTAAATGTAAAGTTCATTTATAACTATTTATTTTATTATAATCAGTTTAATCTATATATAGTATTGTTTTAATTAGAACTATTAATGCTAACAAACTTTAAAAATGTAAAAAATAAGAATATACTTTGTAAATCTCATATAAATCTTTAGTTTTGTTCTTTAAAATTACTGATTTCTATTATTGGTATATTGAAACATCATCACATTATATATTAATTTGTTTTTATATTGTGAGTTAATTTATATATCTCAAGTCCACAATTCACTATTATATAATTAGTTTGGTTACAATTAGTTTAGTTACTATAAATAAATCAAGATGATTTTTTTTAGAACCAGAAGGTTCATAAAATCTTACATAATTGCTATCACTAATATTTACCATCTAACCAAATTACTAAAAATTCAGAACTAAACATTATTTGTTAAATTTTTTTATTATTTTTTCACCTACCAAATGGAATCCATTCAATCATATTTTATGCAATAATTTTAAGTTGAACCTCAATCCTTTCATGCAATAATCAATATCCTTATTTTCACTATCCATCCTTGAATTGTTATATCAGGACCACAGGTTTAATATTGCTTTACTTATATTATCTTCATTACAATATGAACATTTTATTAAAAACAAAATGTTGATTATAGTTAAGATGATCCAGAGAATAAGTTAGCAAAAAAACTTCTTTAAACAATTATTTAAATTATTTTCATTCTCCATCCTGTTAATTCTATATTTGTTATACAAACAATAAAATTTGTCTTTATAAACATACATATATACATTCATATGCCTATAACTAATACAGATCTACAATTTGTATTCTTGGAGATAAACCTTAATTTTAAAAGTAAACCCCTATTTGAAGTGAAATCTATGTTCATTTATGGTTACATTATTATCGCAACTCTCAATAATCACAAACTCAGATTAAACAGATAATAACATAACTGGTAGCAATGTCTCACTATAAAAATAATAGATTATTAATTTTACTAATAAAACTATTTATCTAGAATGAAAGAACTAACTATATTTGTTTATTTCTCTTCTTTTATATATAATATATTAGACTACAAATTATTTACATTATATTGCCAAGTATATGCTGAAAATATACAAATTTGAACTCTGACATATAAAATTTTGATATATAAATATGCAATTTAAAAGTCTAACTTTTTTAAAAATTTCTTTAAAAAATACACAAATCTATATCTTACTTTATTTAATTCTTCTATTATGCCAACACATTCTTTAACCTGACCTATATATAGATATTGCGGGGTCCTCTTGTAGGTTTAGGTCACAAATTATATATCTAAGTCTTTATTTTTCATATGTAATTTAAAAACAAGCTTTTCTTTATAAAAACTTCAATTGAATTTCAATAAAGTTAAAGACATAAACTTATCTTTAATATTTAAAAAAAAATTTGATAAAAATCAATAATATAAATAAAAACTGAAGTGATCCTTAGAAGCAATAGTGTTTCATTTGCTTTATTAAATAACAAGTCCCAATATCATACATTATCAATAATAATTACATTACACTATACCCAGTATAAACCCTGTAAAATCCATAAACTTCGTTGTTCGTTTGAGTTATTGATCACGTGCTTAACCTACTTGCCTTCGTTAAACCCAAAGTAACCAAAAGCCTTAATCACCCACATACAATATATATGGATTAAAATCTCAAAATATATATTCACATCGTGCAAATAAGAGTCAACTCAGACTAAAAGTCATATTTAGTTCGGTTAAATTTTATATAGTAAGTTAATGGTTCGTTATAGAGAGTTGATTGCACCAGTTAGTTTTTTTCACATATGTGATAAAAAAATCCGATCATCAGATGAGTATAACGATAACTTGATCATTTAATATCGCACACCCCAATGTAATATCTCGTAAATGGATAGATTCCGATTATCACGAGGACGACTATCACGGGGACGATTATTACTAATATGATTTGAATAAAGGGATGTGGTACTACTTTCATTTACTGATATCGAAGTTTTTTGACACCACCATTAGGCTTTATCAGGTAATTTTCGATCGCTTTTACTATAAATTCTTTTTCATGTGTATGCTTAAATTTTGAAATTTTATTAATTCACTTATTTTATTATTTGGAAAATTTTATTAATTTCACTAATTTTACCATTTGGAAAATTTATTAATTTATCAATTTCATATTTTAAAATCCTCAAATTTCTAAAGTTCTCAAAAATTACTATTTTCACTCAATTTAGAAATTTGAAAATTCTGATTTTTCCGAACGTTCACATGCCGATACCGCAAGTTAAATTGCAATGGAAATACTAGAAGATACTTCAACAGCCACTACACTACAAAATAAAACATCAGAGACACCATCCGCAGTAAGCATAAGCAATACAACGGATAAAATGTCCGTAATAGTCGATGAAGAAAAAGACAATAAAAATGACCAAACAATACATTTAGTAGAACGAAGTGCGATAACAGCTGCAATACTAATTCCTTTTTCGATTATTGGCGTTTTAATTCGAATTGGGTTAGTCGATTTGCACACATATTCAAACGCACCTGTGTTTGCTTTGATATATCCACAATTTGTCGGGTGTACGATATTTGGATTTTGTCTGGCTAGGAAGGGATTCATTATGAAGAGGTATACAATTTATGATCTAATAGCATATCTAAAAAAAAAACACATTAATAATATATACATTTTAAATAGCTATTTGCCACTATATATTGGTTTACAAACTGGACTATGTGGCTCAATTACAACATTTTCTTCTTGGTCCCTTTTAACATTTCGAAGCTTTATTACACCAACTAGTCCTCTTAATGGCATTGACAATGTAATTATTATACAATTATTCGATTCAATTTATCACATCTTTTCTCATGTATCATAACGTTTATAATCAGGTCCTTGCTGGATTAGCTATTATTGGTATAACAATTGGAATGTCAATTGTCGGTTTAAAATTCGGTGAACAGTTGGCTGATGCTTTCATGATAAGTCAGATAACTCCAAAAGGAATAGTTCACAAGGTTATAATAAGACCATCTAATATAAGGGAATTCGCACGTCTCGACTGGGTTTGCATTGTGAGTGGATGTGTATCATGGCTTCTGATCATTGCACTTGCTATTTCTATTCAAGTCCAACGAAGGGTATTATATGCTGCTGTTTTCGCACCAATAGGTAGTTTTTATTGCCATATGTATTAAAAATATTCTTTCGTAAATTTATAAGTATTCTGATACTATTTACACTTGCTGATTAATTAGGAACTTTGATAAGATGGCAGCTATCCCGCTTTAATTCATTTAAATCTTCATTTCCTATTGGAACTTTTACTGCTAATATCAGTGGTTCGGCGATTTTAGGTGTACTGTTTTTGCTTTGTAATGGTATCGTTTATTCTGGAATAAGTTGTGAGATCCTTATTGGCTTATCCGATGGACTTTGTGGTAATTATTCATGTAATATTATGTAAACTTTTAGTTTATTTCATTTGGTAGTAACCGGGTTTTCCTAATAAAGGATGTTTAACGACAATTTCTACATTTACGGTGAGTAAACCCTACCCTCATGTTTATGTAATGATATCATGTATTCATCTAAGTTTATCAACCGTTTTTGATTACAGGCAGAGATAGTGTCATTACCGCGCCGTCATGCCTATAGGTACGCACTAATTTCTATTGTGACAAGTCAAATCATGATGGTATTTTTGGTTGGAATACGTGCCTGGGTTAATAATGGCTTGGTAAATACTTGTAGCTAATTTAATTCTTAGATTATTAATGACATCATATACTTTTTTGTTTTATTCCTTTTACATTGGCACCATTTTTTTTATAATGTATAATATTTCCGTAGATTTAGAAAATAGATTATCTTATACAAAATTTTAATGAAAGTACTATATTAGTTTCTGCATAAAATGGTACAAAAGCTATTTGTGCATAAATCTCAAAAAGGTATCTTGAAAATGTTTATTGTGTTTAATCATTAAACACAATCTATTAGCGATTCCCAATTATGAAAATGCTTACGAAAAAAATATTTATTTAAATGATATAATTTATGTCAATAATAGTATGTTCTTATTCTTATCAACTACCATTTGGGGACACCCACAGCAAAAGGGGAATGGGACTATATATTATGTAGTCCCATCCCATCCCCATTCATAGACAGAAGTTCGTCTGATTGGCCAATAAATTCAATTTAATTTTACATTATTTATACAGTTTAGAGTACTTTTTAAAAGAACGAAAACCAACCATAATAAAGTAAAAAAAA